GAAGACGCACACCGTGCCTGTGTCACCTGATGGTGACGTCGGCATATTGGTGACATCAGGGTTGGCGCTCTGGTTTTTGGGTAGAACTCTATGGTTTGAAGCTGATTCTGCCATAGAGTTTTGCCCTCAAAACTAGAGGCGTGCCAACCCTGATGTCACCGATGTGCCTACATCACTTCCAGGTGTTGTAGTCACGTCACGTTCGTGGTGGTAATTTTCTCCCACCGGCCAGATGGCTGGCACCAGTGTTCCCTCTAGCTCACACTAACTCACAGTTTTTTAGCCTCTGGCTGGAAACCAAGGGATCCACCACGTGCTGGGGGGACCTGGCAACCTTACCCAAATCTCCACACATGCACACAAACATATCCAGCACAGGCCTTGCTGATTCACAATATATTTGTCGGGAGGTGCCAGCAAGCTGCCACATGTTTTCCTACTTTCACTTTCATGCGCATTCCTTCCCTCGCGCTTAATTGCTTGCCGGAGCAACACGTATCTTTCAAGGCCGCAGGAGGAGAGCTGCTGTAGTGGTTGCTTGGGTTATCCCTCGGATAAGTCGTGGGAAATGTTACCTGTTATGCTTATTTGTACCGTTAGTTCCCAGGCCTATTGCTGCGCGGGGGAACTCCCGCAATTGGGTTCTGCCGATTTGAATGTACTATATCCTGACATGCTCTTGGGTTCCCCGTTATTCCTAACAGTGTTCCTGTCAACGCACCTTTAGCTTCAATACAAGTAAAACCTTTCTACAAGCGTGTACTTCGTTGTTGCTGGGGGGGACCTGACAGGAGGTCTAGATCTCCATTGCCCCGGCACCCCAACTTGGTTTGGAAAGAACAAAGTACATGACAAACTGCTGTTTTGTTTTCGCTAATCATGCCTCTGGCCGGATTTTTAAAGCCTACGTGTGTTTGTGTGTCAGTTGTCCCAGCTACGTGGTGAAAAGATTACATAGGAACACGATCTAGCGGTCAGCCATGTTAGCCGGTCTGCCCGTTGCCAAACAAGAGTCCGCCCTCCTTCTCTTCTTGCCAGATATATTTATGTGCTTCAGGAGTGTGGACAGGAAGTAGAGGGAAAGCTGCTCGAGGAAATAGCAATGGGATGAAAGAGATGAGGAGGAAATGGCTGTGGTGGTGGGCTGGCACGAAGCGTGGGTTGCCACCAGTCTCTCCAGAAAGAAGAAGAAGAAGAAGAAGAAGAAGAAGAAGAAGAAGAAGAAGAAGAAGAAGAAGAAGAAGAAGAAGAAGAAGAAGAAGAAGAAGAAGAAGAAGAGGAGGAGATTGGATTCATACCCCGCCCATCTCTACTCAAAGGAGTCTCAGAGCGGTTTACAATCTCCTTTCCTTTCCCCTCCTCACAACAGACACCCTGTGAGGTAGGTGGGGCTGAGAGAGCTCTCTCGAGAACTGTCCTTGAGAGAACAGCTCTGAGAGAACTTGTGACTGACCCAAGGTCACCCCAGCAGCTGCATGTGGAGGAGTGGGGAATCAAACCGGGTTCTCCCAGATTAGAGTCCGCGCTCCTAACAACTACACCGAACCTTTGGGAATGGAAATGTCATTAAATGAGGGGACCCTGGGGAGGGAAAAGGATATGGAACGCACAAAGGGATGTGGGTTTTGCAACACTCCGTTATATGTCAAGCACGCTGTGCCTATATTTGAAATACAGAGCTTTTGCTACTTCGCACCGGTTTACCTTCAACCGAAAGCATGCTTACTCAAGAATAAGTTCTCTCGACAGCCCTGGCCTCTACTCCCAAGTGAACACGCCCTGGAAGGCAGCTCAGCCCAATGTCTGCTTAGAACTAAATCCCACCAATCCCAGTGGGATTGACTTCCCAGCAAGATAAGAACATAAGAGAAGCCAATGTTGGATCAGGCCAATGGCCCATCTAGTCCAACACTCTGTCACACAGTGGCCAAAAATACCAGGTGCAATCAGGAGGTCCAGCAGTGGGG